TAATTTTTTGATTTATTGTAGAGATGAGGTCTCACCTGCCCAGGCGGGTCTCGAACCTGCGGGTTCAGGCAATCCACTCACCTCAGCTTCCCAAAGGTGCGGGATTACAGGCTGAGCCACCGAGCCCAGCTAACAATTTATTTTTAATCTACCCAGAACTATTTTTTTGTGGTAGGTATGAGGTAGAGTTCTAACTTTTTTTAATAGAAGCACGTTGTCTCACTTGTTTTTTTGAACTGCCTTACCTTTCCCCACTATTTATATGGACACCTGTAACACATATCGACTTTCCATATATTCAAGGGTCTATTTCTGGACTTCCTAAACCTGCCACTGATCAGATTTATTTCTTTTTTAGTTTGTTATTTTTAGAGACAGAGTTTCACTAGGTTGCCCAGTGAACTCAAACTCCTGGCCTCAAGCAATACTCCCACCCTGGCCTCCCAAAGTGCTGGGATTGCAGGCCTGAGCTACCACTCCTAGCCCATAGTGTCTATTTCTGCAGTAATATCATAGCTTCTGAATCCCACAGCCTCATTTTGTTATCTAATAGGGTAAGCCCCTCGTTCTTATTTTCCAAAAATTTATATTTACTCTTTGAATCAACTGGTCAAGTCCTTAAACCCTATTGGGATTTTAACTATAACTTTACTATGTTTCTAGATTTGTCTTGGAAGAACTGACAGCTTTACAGCATTAGGTCTTCCTATCCAGTGACTTGGTAAGCCTCTTCATTTAAACATTCAGGTGGTCTCTTTTGCTCTTAGAGATAGTTTTACAAATTTTTTTATTAGATTGGGTACATTTTCCTGATACACTTATTTCTAGAGATTTCCTTGCTTTTTTGAATGGAATCTTTTTCCATTATATCTTCTAATTGGATATTACTGGTATATACAAAAGTTTATGATTTTTGAATCATTGACATCTGGTCACCTACAGAACTCTTTAATTATGTTCTGATAGTTTACCTGTTGCTTCTCTTAGATCTTCTAGGCTATAATAGCTTGCTAATTCTTTTCTCTGTCCTCTGATTTATCCTTCAAAGCAAGCCTGATATCTTTTTTCTTTCCAGATTGGAAAATATATTTAGAAAGTAAACTAGAGAAAAAGGGAGAGGGAGAGAAGATTCACCTCCCCACATTCGGGAGGGAGTCAGAGCTTAAAGGAAAGTATGGCACCCGATATCTTTTTTTTTTTTGAATTGGAGTCTCACTCTGTTGCCCAGACTGGAGTGCAGTGGCCGCTCCCCGCCACCACAGCCTTGACCTGCTGGGCTCCGGCGATCTTTCTGCCTCAGCCTTCCATGTAGCTGGAACGACAGGCGCCCACTACCATGCCTGGCTAATTTTTTGATTTATTGTAGAGATAAGGTCTCGCCAAGTTGCCCAGGCGGGTCTTGAACCCGCGGGCTCAGGCAATCCACTCACCTCAGCCTCCCAAAGGCACGGGATTACAGGCTGAGCTACCGAGCCCGGCCCAATATCTCTTTTTAAGACCGCTGGCTTGCCATCTTTGGCAGCTCCCCACTACCTAATGCATCACACCCACACCTCTTAGCTCTGCGTTCTAGGCCCCGTGGGAGCTGGCTCTGACCTGCCTTTCCAGCTTTGCCTCTAACTACTTGGCACTCTAGCCCTGCACCCAACAGCTCCACTGGCAGATGCCTGCTTGAATCCAGGTCAGTGCCCTGTGCCTCACCCCAGGTCTCTGCCTATAGTGCCCTTCTCTGCCCTGTACTGTCTGGTGGACTGGCAATCATCTTTTAGGGTGAAGTCCAAGGTCACCTTGATCTGAAGCCTTTTGCAAGCTTCACAGGTAGAATTCCTTACTCTCTCCTGTGTGCTCCAACGGCCCTTTGGCAGAAACCCCTTCTACACCTATCACACAACATGAAGTTGGCCAGGCAGACTGAGCACCTAAGATAGGGACTGTCCTGATTCACGGCACCTGGCACAAGGCCTGGCATAATCATAGGTATTGAAGAAAGGAAGGAAGGGATGAATGAATGAATAAATGAACAAGTGAACAGGAGAAACTGAACAAGAAGACATGCAATCAAATTCTGCTTTTCTCATGAGAATCCCTGCATTTGGAAGTGACTGCTCCCTCCTCTGAATTCTAAGGACTCTCACCTTCACCCACAGAATCTCCTACCTGAGGAAGTGATTTGTAGGCAGGCGATATCTCCTAGGCTGTCCCTAGACTTCCAGAGGCACATGACCTGCCTAGTTAGCCGAGGTCTCCTCCCACCATCAGGGCAGCTGGGAGGTATTCACCCAGCTTCGCTGAGTGGTAGCAGCGGAGGAGGAACCAGAGGGAGGACCGAGGCTGAGTCTCACCAGTGCCGGCCTCCCTCTCTCGCAGCGTCTGATCCACGTAAAGGCGGGTCTTTCGGGGCACGTTGAGTTTCATGGCCTGGGCTGGTGGGGGGCCCACCTCACCTTTCCCCTCCACAAACACTGCTGTACGCTTCAGTATCTTGATAATCAGACCACCACCTAGGGAAGTGAAAACAGATTTGTCCCTCAGTTCTATTCCACGTTCCCATTCCTTCTTTCCCAAACAATCTGCCTCTTGTAGGGAGGGCTGTTTCCGTCTGTCTGTCTTCCTGACAAGACTGTTGCAGGAAGGAATGAAGTATTTTAATTTTTTCCTATCATTAATTCATTCATTCAGCAGTTATTTACCGAGTACTGCAATGTTCCTGGCATTGTGGTAGGCACTGGGAATACTGTGTGAACTAGATGCAATCCAGCCCACGGCCTGGCCCCTGGGCAGAGATAGCAACTGCTGGTGAGCTGTCCCCAATGGTAGCCTAGCCCCAAGCAGGACGTGTGTCTGTAGGCCTTGCTTTCCACACCCAGGTCTATCCAGACTTCACACCCACCCCCTCTTCTTTCCCCAGAATGTGGCCTGGCCCTTCACTCTCAGCTCCAAAGCCCTCACCTCGAGTAGTCATGACGAGGGTGTTGTCTTCCCGCCCGTAGCGGCCAAAGCACAGGCTGGTCACTGCATCCTGTGTGAAGCATCAGGGTTTAGTTGGAGAAATATCTTGGCGAGGAAAGCAAGATGGGATAAGCTTAGGGGAGACCCCAGATGCAAGAGGTGAGATGGAGGAGAGGCCGGAGGCAAGGCAGCTTCTGAGATACGTCCTGTATTTCTCATCTTCCCTTTTCTCTCACTGCCTCAGTCGTAGCTCCAGACTGTACATCACTGCCCTCACTGTTGGGGCTAGCCTCTTAACAGGTCTACTCGTCTCATCTTTCTGGTCTTTCTCCCCAATCTGTCCTCACAAGGCTGCCTCTGCTGCCTTTTAAAAACACAGGTATAAAAAATAAAATAAAAATAAAAACACAAGTGTGTCTAGTCTCTGCTGAAGAAAATCCAGTGGCTTCTGTACTCTTGTCAGGACTCTGAAGGCTTTCCACATCTGACTCCAGCCCGCCATTTCTATCAGCTCGTTCCTCGTGACCCTTCTCCCATCTTGCATACCACTTGCTCTCCCAGCACCTATGGCCTAAGCCAGCTGCTTTCAAATTTTATACTGTGACACAGGACAGTTCATACACATACACACATTTCATATATAATATACTCTGAATTTTCTATTTTTTCTCTAATGTTGTTTATTGTGATCCACTATATCGATTTAATGATTCACAATTTAAGAGTTTAAAACTCTGGTCCAGGCCAGACGTGGTGGCTCATGCCTATAATCCCAGCACTTTTGAAAGGCTGAGGCGGAAGGATCGCCGGAGCCCAGCAGGTTGAGGCTGCAGTGGCTGTGAGCATGCAGTGGCTATGAGCATGCCACTGCACTCCAGCCTGGGCAACAGAGTGAGACTCCAACTCAAAACAAACAAAAACAAACAACAAAAAAACCACTCTGGTCCAAACTACTCAGATTCCATCAAAAACCTTCATGCCTCGCAGGCTTTGTTCATGCTATTCCCTGTATGGAATGTTCTTCCTCCACTGTCACTTGCTCTGGGAAGTGTTCTGGGAGTTACATCCCCATTTCTCACACCTAGCTCCGTCACTCAGCCCCCTCTGCTTTTTCAGCATACGCCCTGCCTCAGCCTGCCTTGTTTTTGAATCTGCCGTGTCTCTGGCTGGCTGCCACCTTAGACCGTAAGCTGCCCAAATACAACGACTTCGTCATTGTTTCATACCCCCCCATCTGGTGACTTGTATATGTTTTTGAAATGCATTAGTGTGGGGTTGGGAGAGGCAGCTAAGAAGCCCCAGCGGTGGGACTAAGGCAGGGAGGGGTCAGCGGCAGATGCTGGAGGTGGGGCTCACCGGGGTGCGGATGACGTCGAGTAGGGCCTTGTCTCGGTAAATGCGGACCTCTCCATTGGCCAGCCCGGCCATGACGGCCTGCAGGCCCCGGGAGCGCTGTTCCAGGAGGTTCATGGTCAGGATGGCTGCAGGCATCTGCACAGTCCACAGCTTCTTTCCCTGGCAGGAAAAAGCCAGTGTCCGTGGGGGACTCAGGGTTTAGCGTGGAAAGAGGGGGGTGGGAAGGGGAAGCCAAAGGGCTCTCCTGCCAAGAGGAGACAGGCATGGAGGGGCTGAGGCTTGCCAGGGGCCACACCTTGTGGGTGAAGCCGTGCAGGCTGTCTTGGTTGCTGCCCACCACCAGGACCTTGTGTACTCGGATAAGTCCCACAGGCTGGGCGCTCAGCTCAATGCAGTACTTGGGGCGCTTGGAGTCTCTGTGGAATAAAGACATACTCGTCCAGCCCGAGAACCTTCTCTCCATTTCCCTGGCAGATCCTCCCCTCTCTAAGCTCAGAGACTAACCTGGGAGGAACCCCAGCCCCAAAACACATGACTCTGGAATTACGTCCACCTCTACCACTTTGTAGATGCGTGGCCTTGGATAACATCAAGCGTTCTCCTACCATTTCCCTCCTGCCTTTACTACGGTGGGCTGTATGATAACCTGGCATTTAACAGAGTTTTCAGTGAGCTTACTTTCGACTAGATGAGCCAGTGCAAGCGGATGTCGGCAGTTTAATAACTTACAGAAAAGGATGACGAGCCTTACCCTGTGTAAATGCACTGTTTTCAGTTTCTGGGCCTCTCAGTCTTAGTCTCCTTATCCACAAAGATAAGGAATTGGAACGCCGCAATTTCCCGCCTCCCAGTCACAGGCTCTGGCCCGTTTCTGTTCATCACCAAGTCTAGGCCAACACCATATCCCATCTGATGACCGTGAGAGCCTCCCACTGGTCTCTGGGCTCCTTCCAATCTACCCTTCATTCAGCAGAGTCATTTTTTAAAAATGTAAATGGATCATGTCATCCTTCTGATTAAAACATGATTTCCTACTACACTTCAGATACAACCCAAAATCTTTACCATTTCCTTTCAGGGCCTGCAGAAGCAGATAGATGCGCATAGCATCTGCCAATGTCTTTCCCACCTTGAGTTTGCCTACCACGCTCTTCTCTCATTTGGCTCCTTCTTGACCTTCAAGCTACCTCCACAGACAAGTATTCCTAATCGCCTTTGCCACACTGTTTTTTCCCATCGAGTCTGTATTCTGCCTCGATAGCACTCATCTAATTTGCAATCATATCTCTGTTTGTTGACTATAATATCTATGTCCCCCATGAGGACAGAGACCAATTGTTCATCAATATATCCCCAATACTTTGCATAGTGCTTAAAGCATAGGAGGTGCTCAATAAATATTTCTTGAATTTAAAAAATATGGATGTTATATGGCATATCAAACAAATGCTTAAAGAAGTATCCCACACACTATCAAGTAATACAACAAATACAGAAGACTGTTTTTATTTCCTCCCACTTGTAACTGCATCGCTCCTGTATTTTAGTCATCCAGCCCGGTCTCTCACTTTGTCAGCCCCCAACTCATAAGCCTCCAGATATTCCCCCTATGCTCATGGACTCAGTCTCCTTTACAAAGTTCTCAGCTCTTTTCACTCCCAAATTCCAGCCCCCAAGTCCCCAAGCTCAACTTACAAGTCCCTGAAACCACCAGGTTTTTGACACGCTCCTTCTGGTCCCAGAGACCATGGTTACCTTCTCAGAATATAGATGTTCCCGTTGCGGCAGGCTGCAGCAAGCCGGAACTCAACGTCAAACTGGCCAGAAACCTCCAGGAAGACGGGGACACTGGGCAGGCTCATCTGCAAAGAAGAGGCTCACGTACCCCGATTTCTCAGGGGCCCCAGTTCTTCCCTGCCCTTAGGAAACGCCTCTGTGCAAGTTCTTTGTCTAAAGTCCCAATCTCCTCACTCATGCCCTGCTGCTCACAGTTTAAACTCATACAGTTTTTTAGCAGCGAAACTCAGCAAGGTGTAGGAATGCCTTTTAGTCTATACCCTTTGACTAAACTATGCCGGTTCAGGGACTGCCGGCAAAGATGTTTGGGTAAGATAGTCGGGCAACCCCTTCGGGTCCCCACCCACCATGGGAGTTTTTCTATCCTCTCAATAAATCCTGCTTTCAAAAAACAAAAAGAAAGTCTATAGCAGTGGTGTTCATTATAGTGAAAAACAGAAAACTTAAACATACAATAGGTGACAGGGTAAATGAATTATGATACAGCTATATAATGGTTCTTGTGTGGTCTTTAAAAAGCCCACAGACCTGGTTTTATAGATCTAAAAAGCACTAATGATACATTGCTATGTGAAAAGGCAGGTTACGTGATTGTGTACCATGATTCTGTTTTTAAGGAGAAATAATTATATAAAGTTATATATTCCTTTTTTTTTCTTTTTGAGTTGGAGTCTCACTCTGTTGCCAAGACTGGAGTGCAGTGGCACGCTCCCAGCTACCGCAGCCTCGACCTGCTGGGCTCCGGCGATCCTTCTGCCTCAGCCTTCCGAATAGCCAGAACTATAGGTACGCTCTACCACACCTGGCTAGTTTTTGATTTATTGTATAGACAAGGTCTCGCCAAGATGTCCAGGTGGGTCTCGAACCCGTGGGCTCAGGTAATCCACTCACCTCGGCCTCCCAAAGGGCTGAGATTACAGGCTGAGCCACCAAGCCCAGCCATGTATCTATTTCTAAATACGAAAATATCTAGAAGGACACTTGTCAAAACTTAAGCAGTAGTTATCTGTGGGTGGGATTTCTGGATGTCTATATAATAATTTTCTTTATGTTTATCAACAGTGTCTAATTTTTCTGTAATAACCATTTATTACCAAGAACTAACTGGGGACATGAGGAGGGAATGCAGGTGTGTCCGGGGCCAGACCTGACACTGACCTTGGCCAAAATGGTGAAGGCCTCAGGGTCAAGCACCAGGAGTTCCTTGTTCTCAGTGCCCAGCACCAGGCAAGACATAGCATCTTCGTCAGCTAGGTTCTTCTTCAAAGTAGTCATGGTGGTGATGACTGTCTGTGGAAGAACTTCAGGGGTCATCCAGAGAACCCCCACATATCATTTCCCCAGATAGCCCCAGCATGCCACAGAAGGGAAGAAAGAGGGCAAAGGAAGAGGAAGAGGAAGTACTAGAGAGTGGCAGAAGAATTATGTACAAAGGTGTTTATTGCAACAAACCTAACTTTCTAACAAAAGAGGATTGTCTATGTCAATTATGAGTTATGATTTTAAAAACCATGCAACTTAAGTCACATTTAAAACATTCTAATTTATTATTTTTCTTTTTAAATTATTATTTATTTATTTTTGAGTTGAAGTCTTACTCTGTCACCCAGGCTGAAGTGCAGTAGTATCATCACAGCTCACCACAACCTTGACCTCCTGGGCTCAGGTGATCCTCCTGCTTCAGCCTCCTGAGTAGCTGAGACTATAGGTGCACACCACCACACCAGGCTAATTTTATGAATTTGTGTAGAGACGAGGTCTCGCTATGTTGCCTAGACTAGTCTCAAACTCCTGGCCTCAAGCAATCCTCCCATCTCCACCTCCCAAAGTGCTTGTATTACAGGCATAAGCCACTGCGTCTGGCCAATACTCAAATTTTAAAAGAATAGTCAATAACATGGGGAATGCTTCTAATGTAAGAGAAAAAAGTAAGTAAAAAGTAATGGTAGTATAATCCCAGTTTTAGAAATATATGAATATAAAGACATATGGAGGGCTAAACTCTTTTTTTTTTCTTTTTCAGTTGGAGTGTCACTCCATCGCCCAGGTTGGAGTGCAGTGGCACGCTCATGGCTCAGGCGATCCTTCTACCTTAGCCTTCCAAGTATCTGGAACTACAGGTGCATGATACCACGCCCGGCTAATTTTTTGATTTATTGTAGAGACAAGGTCTCACCAAGTTGCCCTGGCTAGTCTTGAACTCCTGGGCTCAGGCGGTCCTGGCCTCCCAAAGTGCTGGGATTACAGGCTTGAATCACTGTGCCCAGCCAAGTCCTAAACTCTTAAACACAAACACTGGTTATATCTGGACAATGAGAATACAGAAAATGTTTAATTTCTTAATGGCATTTTTTATAATTTCTACAATGGCCACATGTTCCTTTTGTAATTATAACTGGAGAGAAAACAAGCAAAGAGATTATCCTGTTTGAAAGGAATTTCTCCAATGGAAATTTGTAGACGCAAACTGTTTTTCTTTGGATAAAGCTGCTCATTGTGTGACTATTGTTAAGATTAAAAAAGAGGAATCATTTTTAGTGCCTTGTGGAAGGAGAAAGATTACAGAAATGTGGACAGATGTTAGTGATCACCAAAATGTTAGTGGTAACCACAACACATGCTTGAGAAGACTGCACCCCAAAACTACATCTTTTAAGCAATAACTAATTCGCTTCCCTATTTAAAAAGTACTCAAGGCTATTGACAACTGGAGATCCAAGCTGCTGAGCAGAAGGAGAGAACAACGTTTCTCACAAAACGGTCTAAGGCAGCCAAACGCTGAGGCATGTGTTGGTCAGTATGTTCAGCTAGGGTGACCTCCACAGGAGTGGACAGTTCCCACAGGCTTTCTAAACTGCAGAACAGCTCTTAGAGTCTGTTTCTGGGTGAGGGTCAGAGTCCCTAGGTCAGAACCACTAAAGCTCATCGGTGCATAGGTTCATCAATAAAGACATTAAGATTATAACTGAGTGATCTCTCACAGGAACAAAGATCTGAGTATCACATGTTCTCACTCATATAGTAGACCTTGAGCATCTATCATAATACTATAAAAAAGGATTGACAGTGGCAGGAAACTATGGCGGGGGTAGGGAGGGGAAGGGAGGTGGGATTAACGGTAGTCGATATCTGTCTGGGGACAGGGAGACATGCCTTATCAACAAGGGTGCCTGAACGATACATATTTATATACCTAACCCTTAACTGTACCCCAAAATTTTAAAATAAAAAATATGTTTATAAAAAAAAAAAGATTATAACTAAGAAAATATATTGGCCGGGTGCAGTGACTCATGCCTATAATCCCAGCACTTTGGGAGGCCGAGGTGAGAGGATTACCTGAGCCCACGGGTTCAAGACCAGCATAGGCAACTTGGTAAGACCTCATCTCTACAATAAATCAAAAAATTAGCCAGGCATGGTAGCGCACACCTATAGTTCCAGCTACTTGGAAGGCGAAGGCGGGAGGATCACCTGAGCCCAGCAGGTCGAGGCTGCAGTGGCCATGAGACTGCTCCTGCACTCCAGTGTGGTCAACAGAGTGAGACTCCAAGTCAAAAAAAAAAAAAAAAAAACCGAAGAAAATATAAAGGAATAAAAGAGAAATGCTTCTTGCCCAATAACCTGGATATGAATGGTTACACAAACAAACTATGAATGAAACACTGAATAATCAGTGAAATAACCAAGAAGCCATGAAAAGCAGAATCCTTAAAGACTATTTAATGCTCACATTTTTTTTTTTTTTGAGTTGGAATCTCACTCTGTCGCTCAGACTGGAGTGCAGTGACCACTCCCAGCCACCGTAGCCTCGACCTGCTGGGCTCTGGAGATCCTTCCGCCTCAGCCTTCCAAGTAGCTGGAACT